ATATATATATCGAGAAAAATTTTGGAAATCAAATGATTCAACAATTCTCACCGACTTTCAATTGAATTACATTTGAATAAATTCATCTGTGAAAAAAGTCAAACTTAAAAACACTTACTTTCATATAGAATTGGTGCACTTGTCACTGGTATCACTTTCAACGGATGCAACTAACTCATTTCGCCATGCATGACGTATTTATAGTAAAATAAGTGATGACATATTTGGAAATGAAACAAAGAGCCGTTGTTTCGTCGCTTTGAGAACTGCGTATCTCCAGATGCTGATTCAGCATTGACAGTGATCAAGGTCACCTTGGATATGAATATAAAAACTAGTGACGAAATATTCTGAAATGAAACAAAAAAAATCACAGAGTCTTTGTTAGATGCCTATTCAGCGTTGACATTGATCCATGTCACCTTGGATATAAATAGCGTAACAAACACATGAATTCTGCTTGTTTTCCCTTTCATTAAAAGTGCTACATGTGATGATGCGACTATTATTAGCGAAGATACAACTTTGTGCCCTCTTGGCATCGTCTTTTTTTTTTCTCTGCCGATGAATTCTGCATTCGTTTTCCTTTCATTAGATGTGCTGCACGTCGATATCCAACTAACGATATCCATTAACAAAGATATGGCTCAGTGTCCTTCTGATATACTGCGCCATCTTTGTTTTTTCTCTGTCGATAAATTCTGCATTTTTTTTCCCTTTCATTTGATGTGCTGCACGTTGAGACTCAACAATCATCAATGAAGATGTGGGTTAGTGCCTTTCTGACATGTTTCACCATATTTGTTTTTTCTTTATCGATGAATTCTGGAATTCTTCTTCATTCATTTTACATGCTGTACGTGACGATCCGAAGTTTTTTCAATGATTTTCTTTGCAATTCTTCCTATGCTGTTTCACATTAGGCGCTCGATATTATATTTTTTATAGTCTACAAATGAAATCATTTGAAATGAGTACCCCATCGATCTGTTGTGACTAGTATCGCGAAAATAGGTTATGAGGTCCTTTTGGCTTCATAAAATGAATAACTATGTTTTTTGACATCTAAACGAATCCATTGATGTCAAAATCATCAGAATCGGACGACCGGAAGTGAAAACCGGAATTGACCTGTTTTTGACGGATTCGAAACCTTCTCACCCTAAGGAATCCAAAAATACCATATATTTCAGTATAGGATGATTTTTCCATTTTTTTGTCAACAAACTATGTGTTTTGAATAAAACTTCTGCAATTGCATTACACTCGTAGTTGTTCATAACCCAACAACTTTTAATTTCAAATATGTTCAATGATTTTCTTTGAATGTGCAATTCTTTCTATGCTATTTCACATTGGATATTATACTTTTCATAATCTACAAATGAAATCATTTGAAATGAGTACCCACATCGGTCTGTTGCTGCTAGTATAATGAAAATAGGTTACACGGTCCTTTTGACTTCGAAAAATGATTAATTATGTTTCATGGCATGTAAACGAATCCATTGATATCTAAATCATCGAAATCGGACGACCGGAAGTGAAAACCGGAAGTGGTCGTTTTTTTATGGATTCGAAACCTTCTCACCCTAAGGAATCCAAATATATCCTATGTGATCCTATGTCATCCTATATGATCCTATATGATTTTTTCATTTTCTTTTCGATTAAGTCTGCGTTTTGAATCAAACTTCTGCAATTGGAATAAACTTATAGTTGTTCATAACCCAACATTTTTTAATTCCAAGTTTGTTCAATGATTTTTGTTGAATTTGCAATTCTTCCTATGCTATTTCACATTAGGCGTTGGATATTATATTCGTTACGCCATCATTGTTTTTTTCTCTGGCGGTACACTCTGTATTCGTTTCCCTTCCATTTGATGTACTGCACGTTGATATTCAACTATCATTAACGAAAATTTGGCTTAGTGCCTTTCTGACATGTTGCGTCATCTTTGCTTTTTCTTTGTCGATGAATTCTGCATTTCTTATCCTTTCATTTGACGTGATGTACGCGACGATCCGATCATTATTAGTGAATATACAACTTAGTGCCCTTCTGACAGTTGCGCTATTATTTTTTGTAATAACCCATTAATTTCCACAAATCCTAACACACGCCACCACCTCCCACGCTGACTACGTCACTTTTCTTCAGTTCAATTTCATCTAGCACAATCAATCGAGCGATATTTGATTTCTCCATTCTGATTAGCTGACCGACACTACTCTGTAACAGAAGTTAGGTTGAGTGTTCCACAAGGTTCCGTTCAAGAGTCTGAAAATTCGCAAAATGAATCTTCATATGACGAAGCGTGGACTTTAGTCATTCCCTGATGATGCTTACTTGGTTAGCGGAACGCGTTAAACGATAAATGACTGTCATATTGAAACACGAAAAACCGTTACGACAATAACGATGAAACGATAACGAATAAACGCACAGAAAACGGTCGAAAACGCACGAAAAACGATCGGAAACGCACGCAAACGATCGAAAACGCACGCAAAACGGTCGCACGCAAAACAGTTGAAACGTTTGTGAAACGGTCACTTTCCCCATTTTCGAATGTTAACTCCACAATACGTAACTCCTCGACACCTTTGGTGCCATCTCCTTCTTCTCCTAATGATGCTAACTTGGTTAACAAAGATACGAGACTCAGTGTCCTTCTGACATGTTGGAACGCTAGACTTCTGTTAAACCGACATGTTTTTTCCTTAAATGATATATTTTGAAACGCCCTGTATACACATTAATATCATATCTTAAACCGACATGTTTTTTTCCTTAAATGATATATCTTGACGCACCCTGTACACTTCGACGCCATATTTGTTTTCAATTATATATTTTGAGATACCTTGTACACATTGAGGGATCGCACGTTGAAAACTTACAGCCTCGTGGAACTCTTCCCTGTATACTTCGACGCCATGATTGTTTTCAATAAATTATTTTGAGATGCCTTGTAACATTGAGGGATCGCACTTTGAAACGATACAGTCTCATCAATCTGTAATGTTTTTTTCTTAAATCTGATTCATTATTATTAATATATCACTTTCGCGCTTCCAATTTTCATCGAGTCGTTCACGATTAATTTCAAAACCGGCAACGCTACATTGCCCCATAAACAACGATAAATTTTACAACCGGCAACGCCGAACCTGCCATGCTGGCATTGGCAGCGTGAAACCTCGATACCATCTCCATCTCTCTTTGCCTCGATTACGTCACACGCATCTCTCGCTCTTACACACACATAAACATCTTTACATGAAATATTAATTATTTCCCAAATCTAAGTATATTTTCCTATCTTCAACATGATAATGACGATTACAACTTCCCTAACATTCTACGGAAATCAAAAAAATGCGGTCAAGTATATAAAATGAGTCAATTTCGGTCCCGACAAAACTAACGCTATAAATACCCAACATTCGCAGTTACTTTCAATATCTTACGTTGGTGTAGAGACTAAGGACAATGTCTACCGCGCGGACGATCCAGGTTCGAATCTCATAACTATACTTTTTTAATTAAAATCACGTGACAAGGGGGCCTGTGCGGTGATGCGGAGTCCCAAGGGGGCCGAGGGCAGAGCACTAAGGGGGCTGATAGGTTAGGCGGAGTACCAAGTGGGCCGAGGGGCGGAGTTCCACGCTTGAATCGCTACGATACTCGTTCCATCCTGCGTCGATGACGTCACACGTTCCCTCCACTCCTGTTTGAACCAAAAATTGGAAAAAGTTCAGCTCCATAAGAAAATACATGGGATTTTGCGCTCGGAACAAGCTTGTTCATCATTATCACAGGTACCTAACCGAATAGATCAATTCAGAGACCTGTCAAAACGAATGCAATATGGCGCCGTAGGGCAAACATTGTATTTTATGAAATGCGACCATAGTAGTTATTGTTTCTTTTTGTGATTTCCTGTGCGTATTTCGACTGTGTTTTTGAATTTCAATTAATAATTAGTGCTTCAACTGAAGGGAAATGCCCATTACGTGCATTGTGGTTGGCTGTAGATTTCGTAACAACAGGGATAAAGTCGGGTTTTACTCAGTTCCTACAGTTTCAAAACACAAGTTTTTGACTAATAAAAAATGAGTTATCTAGAAAGCGAAGAGCCCTATGGTTGGCTGCAATCAAGCGAGATGATCTCACAGATTCGAAAATCAAGTATCAGAAAGTCTACAGCAGATATTTTATAACAAGTGAGTCTCTGGATACTTCAGGTCTCCACTGAAAGCTATTTTGCGTTTAGTGAAAACTATTTGATAATATACATATTATTTTCAGGCATACTTGTTTCTTTAGAGGATGAAAACAATCCTGACTGGGTTCCTTCGCAGAACATGGGACATTCAGCACAAAATGTTCGGAACACTTATAAAAGATGTTGAAAGAAAAGAATATTCATGGTACACAGCACATTTATTGAATAAAAACATACCTCAAGAAAACTCAAAACAGAGCTTTTCATACAAAACAAGTTCAACAACTCAAAATATTTTCAATTGACTCTGCCAATACTTGATGGAAATCCATAGTAATTGTAAACTCACAATCCATTTCATGTACTGGTACAATTGGGAACATCTGTGTCATGGATGGCATTGGTCACACAGCTTTTATATCTGTGCATGACATTACCGCTTTCTTGGTATTGGCATAATCAGCAGCAAATATGGCGCCAACGTGACTACAAACTTCACTGTTTCCGGCCATAAAAGTACAGTGAGCTGTACATATGCTTCCATCTTTTGCTATGATGCACCAAACATCTAAAGGTTTCCCATTTGCTTTCTGTGAATGCTTGACCTGAAAATAAGTTATTAAGATTAGTATCTACTGTAAGAATCACTCTGGGACGTTCAAATTAAAAATTGAATCATTCTCTTGATCAACAAAGAAGACAATAAAAAGTCACAGGTATAGCTGATCGTGGATACACACAGTTTCACGTGTATCGCTTCTTAGATGAATTAACTATACCATTAGGAAATCAGAAAGTTACCATACTGCTAGCTTAGAAAAACTCACCTGTCCAGCTAAAATGTATAAATTGTTCTCAATCTTTGTTCCCACCTTCAAGAGGAAGCCAGATTCGAAATATTTATACAATTCCAAACCTTTATATGCCTTCATCTGCACATGCGAATAAAAATTGTGGGTGAAAATCAAATACGAAGCAATATTCACATATGTAACTGGAGGAACACCATCAATTGAATAATCCAGATTAGAAACATTCAATGAGAAAGGGTCTAAACCATTGACAAATCTCAACTTCATTATATATCTGTAACACAATGATAAAAATGTAAACAGATGATGGTGTATTTTTTCGAACATACCGTTTAGCAACGTCTCTGCCACAGCATCTCTGCTGTTCAGCAATAGTGATTTCAAGTATTTATGTGCTCTTATGACAATAGATTGTTTGCCCTTCGCCGCCATATTGGGTCACGTGGTTTGGATTGCTCTTATGGAGCGGAGTGGAGTGGAGCGGGAGCGGAATTTGTTGACAGCTGTGACGTTACGTTTACCTGAATTGATCTACAACAATAGAACATTTCTTGAACATCACTAGTTTCATTTCAATATAAAAAAAATATAAAGGGGAATTTTAATGATGTTCTAGACATTGATACATTTAGAAATCATGAAGGTATCTAGGTCAAGATGTTTAAGAGATAACATTCATTATGTACTTGTGTAGTTCCATATTGAATTCAAACCTCCATAAGTTCATTGAATAAACTTTTTTGAAGTTGGACCTCGCGCCAAAAGAGAAATCCTAACCTAACTAATATGGTCTATTAAGCAGACTTAATCGTCTGGAGGAGAGGCTGAACTTATTTCGGATAAAGGAGACCTTTCACCAGAAGAAGAATACAGTCATGGTCCTCTTAGACATTCATAAGGCGTTTGACACCGTACGGTCAGAAGGATTTATCGCGAAAATGTGGACGGCACACATGTCCTTATATATGATGAGAATCCCAGATTCTCATTTGGTCAACCGAAAATTCAGAGTCAGAAAACATCAAGCTATCTCTACAGATTATTCAATGAAAGCTGGTGTTCCGAACGCGGACGACACCACGATATATATTCATACTCTTGCGAAGTGGCAAAAAGACAACTGCAAATTCACATGTATAGATTAGTCGTAGACATAGCGAAAATCGAGCCAATCACATATTTTTATCAGACGGCTCGCTTATAAACACTTCAAATGGTTTCTTTCCAGAAACCCGCTGACTAGTGAAGTCACGGGTATTAGATAATACTATAATCAGACCCGCCGACAAGGTGGAATAAGATGAAGACAAATCCGTGAAAGACTCTACTCGTCAATTTCACGAAGAAATTCACAGATGTGAAGATCTTCAGGAAGTTGTTGATTCAAGGAAAATGTGTGGATGAACAGAAAAGCGCGAAATACTTTGGAGTTATCCTAGACAGGCGGGTTGGCTGTCCTTGTTCATCTTCTACTGCCTGAACTACTGTGCATGCTGTTTTCGGCGAGTGCATTGGCTTGGGATGTGAAGGTTGAGCAAACTGACCATCGGATGCCTGCTTCCACGTAGCCCCGCTGGATACGGGAATGACAGAATCACTTGTGGTTCTGTTATTCCCTAAATGAATGGCATCCCAACGTTGGCCTAAGGTGTGTGTATCCGTGCCGAGAGGATGAATGACACTAAGCCTATCAGCTATCTCTACGGAACCTTCGAGATACCGGACGCCCTCTCGTCGTAGCATCGCCTTGTCACGGATATGCGGGGCTCTGCCGTGCTTGACCTTCTTTCCCTAGCTACTCATGGGACCTTTTTGGACAAAGTGAACTTAAAATTTTTTTCTGACGCTGAGTCTATAGAGGAGATGGATGTCGAGCTTACGATTCTAACTGACCTCCCTGTAGACTTAGATCAGAAGCGAGTCTACAGAGGAGATGGATGTCGAGTTTACGACTTCAACTGATCTTCCTGTGAAATTTAATCCAGGAGCGAGTCTACAGAGGAGATGGATCTCGAGTTTTCGACTCCAACGGACCTCACTGTAAACTTAGTTCAGGAGCGAGTCTACAGAGGAGATGGAGGATGTCGAGTTAACGACTCCAACTGACCTCCCTGTAAATTTAGTTCAGGAGCGAGTCTACAGAGGAGATGGATGTCGAGTTTACGACTCCAATTGACCTCCCTGTAAAATTTAGTTCAGGAGCGAGAGCTGCTGCGTACGCAGAATCTGTCTCAGGTGGGGAAACTAACCCCCCATGAGCAGGTTAGCAAACGTTTGCGCTCAAGTGAGGTTTCACCAAAACCAGAGGCAAAAAAGCCCTGCATGGCTGAATCTAAGGCATCGTCAGGTGTAGCTGACGTGCAAAAACCCTCATATGGGAAGGTTGTCGTGAGTATCAAGGTGGGAATCTAGCAACTTGACTATCCGACTATCTCAATAACAGTGCATATATTATGTGCCTGCCCCGCTGGGGACCAAATCGGGCCTTTAGAGTTCGGCAGAGCCGTACTCTTACCATCTGACCTGAAAGACCACTCACCATACAAACTAATCGGCTTCGTTAAGAAGCTGAGTTTGTTTGGCCGAGTGAGAATAAGTGTGAGCCACAATAAACCCTTGCGGGTTGCGGTGGAGGGTCGAATAGACCCACTCACTTTGGACCTAACCTAACCTATCATAGACAAGCGCTTGAATTTCCGATAGCATATAAGTTTGGCAATTCAGAGAGCGGGAGCGGCGATAAAACGCAACTACCCTCTCATTGCATGAAATTCCAAACTTTGTGTTGACAACAAACTCCTGATATACAAACAAGTAATCAGGCCAGCTATGTTGTACGTTTGTCTTGTGTTCTGCAGCCTCAAGGACACCCCCTTATTGAGGCTCGAGAGAATGTAGAACAAGGTACTTCGGTGCATAACCAATAGTGACAGATACGTTTCATTGAAGCCTTTGCGAGACATAGCGAAAATCGAGCTGATCACAGATTTTATCAGACGGCTCGCTTATAAATACTTCAAGTGACATTGATTATATGGAATGGTGTGCATAGGCTTATGCAGAAGGCACACGAATGATACAGACGAAAGGAGACTGCATATTTGGCGAATGCAATCCGCTAACATAGAGGGGGTCGTTCCCCACCGCCTCCTTTCACCGAGGCCGTGAGGGCGCGCCCATAACGATGAGGTGATAAACATTGAAATGTAGATGTGATATTTTCAAATTTTAAATAAAGTATTTTTGCTAAGAACACCGAATAAGAAGAAGAAACTCAGGTAAAACATCAACATCCATACCTATATAGTATAAATCAGACTCGAGAGAGTTCAGTCTGTTGCCGAACACCAAGTAAACATCGCCATACAGTAGAAGGCAAATGAGCTTTGCTGCAACGTCGTGAGTGACATGTTCAAGTTTCACTTACACAAGTTGAATCTAACTTTGGTTAGGTTAGGCTGCAGAATATGATTCACAGTAAGAGTGTGAATTCACAGTTGTAACTGTAAATTTGTCAATTGACTGTGAATTCACACTTTGAACTGTAAATGCATAGTTATAACCGTGAAATCACAGTTGTAAATTTGTCAATTGAATTTGTCCATGGATTTTTGTGACCTTTTCAGGTTTACTTATATCAGCTATGAATTTTTAAATTAACTTTAAATCAACACTTATAATTGAAATTCTTATAAGTGTGAATTCACAGTTGTGAATGGAAAATTGTATTATTGACATCCATCAAGCCACCTCTTCTTCGAGTAAAAATCAATACGTAGATGTTCGCTATGTGACACTTTGCATAAATTGTGAACAAGGAGTGATTCAAGATTACCAGCCTTGTTGACATATGACAGGCGCTAGTATTCAATCAATTTCAGAAATACAAACAAAAACGAAAGGAAAATGACAACTGACGTTAGAAACATGATGTGCATGACCAGCAATTTGTATTGTGTTTCAGTGTGTTTTGGCAAAGTTATTTGAAAAGTAGTTGAGTATTTTGAGCTCCCGTAGAATTGCAATTGAATAATTAGATACAGGTAATACAAATTTGGGAAACGGGTTTTCAAGAACAAACTTTTTCGTAAAGTAGAAATAGCGGTGAGGGAAAAATGGAAACTTCCAAAATCGAAGTAAAAACTAATGATGATAAGAACAAAAATGAGCTGGTGAGTATGGTTAGTGGAAGTTGTACAACTTCAGTAACGCTTTTATCCTAATGGCCGAATCAACCAGAGAGTATTGAGTGGGAAAATGAATGTATCATTTTTGTTGGAATTCTGAAGATATCATTCATAAAACCGCAATATTGCTAATTCCTTTTTCAAGTAACAACTCTTATCCAATTTCAACTGCAATGTTTTCTTTGGTAATTGAAATTATTGAGTCTCGAGTTGTATAAATCGAGGGAGGCTTTCATAGTTAGAGGTTCCTTTGTATTTGTTGGAATTTTCACTGCGTTTGTTTCGATTCAGTTTCTCAAGCTTTGTCTACACTGATGATACTAAGACTCTTGGTTCTTCTAAACATATTAATGAATCGTTGAGAAACTCATTCATTATGAACAATTCATGAAGTATGAATGTGTCTGAAAGTTTTCCAAGATTTGTCTTCTGAAGTAACTTGTATGCAATGTTATGAAGTTCCTTATGTGTGGGTATTCAAGTTTAGTATTGAGCATATTTGACTTTTGTAGTCTGATGAAGATAAGCTGCTGCAAGAAGAACTCAACTTATGTGTGGAAAAACTACAGGTATTTACATGTTTTTGTTGTTTGCAACAATATGATAAAATCTTTTATTACAGGAAAGTGATGAAAAACTTTATTTACCTGCTCTACATGCCTTGGGTAATAATATTCGAGCATCTACCACATCTATGACGTCCGTTCCTAAACCTCTCAAATTCATGAAACCACATTATGAAACTATGAAGCAAGCTTATGAGAAAGTCACTAACCCAGAAATAAAAAATGTTTTTGCTGATATTATTTCTGTATTGGCCATGACGATGGGAGAAGGAAGGGAATGTCTCAAATATAGACTTCTCTCTAATTTGGGTAATATCGGAGAGTGGGGCCACGAATATGTTCGGTAGGTGAATAAATACATATGTAAAATACCTGCACTTTATTAGTTGTAAAAAGAACCATTTATGGTGAATAAAAAACCTGAAACAGTTGAAAGTTCACAATAAGTAATAAACTGTCAAAATATAAGAGTAGATATGTGTTGGTACTGAAGACACACGTATAATGATTTGTTACTTCAATAGTATTGATAGATTTTTTTTAGTCACTTGGCAGGAGAGATTGCTGGAGAATGGGCAGAAACTGATTTCATGGTGAACACAGAAATAAGAGATAAATTAATTTTACTGGCTAAGCAGATCCTTCCTTATAACATGGCTCACAATGCTGAAGCAGAAGCATGTGATTTACTGATGGAAATTGAAAGACTTGATCTACTAGAACAATACGTGGATGAAAATAATTATCAAAGATGCTGTTTGTATCTCACAAGTTGCATACCATATGTGGCCGATCCAGAAAATAATACGCTTCTTCAGACTGCTCTATTGCTGTTCCGCAAATTCAAACAGTATTCGCAAGCATTACGTTTAGCTATGCAGTTGAATGATCATTCTCTGATAGAAGAAATATTCACAACTTGTCCAGATACGTAAGTGTGACTTATTGAACATTGAATACATTTTATTATGAATATTTGTAAAATTGTTTCTCATATAGGGTGGACAGATCTTGAACTATTCAATTGCCATTAGAATATTCATTTTGCTAGTTCTTGTAGTTTAAACCTAATATTATTTGAATCATCATCCTTGGAACAAAAAAAAATTCAAAAGTCAGTTTTTTTACTACTTGGGAGCCATCTGACTTATTCATTTCTCCGTAGTCACCGGAAAACACTGCAGGAAAATCCATGAGGGTTTATTGCATTTTCCTCCCATCTTTTTCATGACACCCATTCCAACAATCTTGTGCCCTGTACTAGTCTGCACAGATCCCTTGATGGATGTATGTCATATTCTTCTGGGAATAATTTTGGTTGCCTATGAGTTATTTGCCTCCTGTGATCCAGTGCCTCACATTCGCATAAGATATGACGAGCTGTCTGTGTCCCTTTGTTGCATTGCCTGAAATTGAGGTCTCCTTTGTATGGCTTCATTTTGTTCAGGTGTCCTCTCAATGGACAGTACCCAGTAGCCCTGTAATTGTTCAGAAGAGCCAATTTCTGCCTTCTTCAAGCAGTTTTTCAGTTAATCATAATCATCATAATCTTTATTTCATCCACAAAATTCATACACAAATGAAAACAATAGAAATTACTCACATCCTGCAAGAAATATATCAGACTAGTCAGCTACATAAAAAAGTAATACAAAAGACAAATGTAAAGTTTTGTCATAACACATTAAAATGTATAGAATGTATAAATAAAATGTATACCACAGTCATTATATTAATATGTAATCATCTTAGAATTTAAGGAATTCATCCACCATGTAGAACATATTGCTGTAGAGAAACGAATGCAAATCAGATTCAAACCTCTTATTACTAGTATTTGTATCAATAAAAGTTATTATTTTACTGAAACATTTTATGCCAATATAATTTGGTGAGTTTTTGCCCGTCGATAATCTTGCAAATAATTCATGAATGTTATCTTCTTGGTCGGCCCTTGTATAAAAGATTTCCTGTGTGTTACCGGGTATGTTTTCTTGACACTCTTTGTTCCTTATAGACCCACTTTCCAATCTGGTTCCATATCAAAGATCCCCACAGGTGGTTCAGGGCATGTATTTGGAGTTGATGATTCGTGTCTGGCACTCCACCCAGTATATCATCAATCTATTCCTGTTCGCCAGTTTTCTCAGTTCTTCACGGCATTCCCAGACCATTGTCACTATTTCTCGAGTTTGAGGGCAGTCAATTTTTGGAATTTCTACCTGACTTTTTGCTGGGCGAGTGGCTAGCCTCTTCAGAGGTTTATACATCTTGAGTTTATCTCCGATGACTGGATATTATAGCTGCGTTAAGCGTGTTTATGTTGACTCAGGTAGTCACGCTTCAGACAATTTACCAACTCCAGGTACAGGTATAAGCACACCAAACTAACTGAGTCAACATGAGTATGCTTCACGCAGTCATAATACCCAGTCATCGAAGAAAAACTCAAGATGTGTAAACCTCTGAAAAAGCTTATCACTCGTGCTAGCGAAAGGTCAGTGAGAAATTCCAAAAATTGACTGAGTTTATACTCATTTATTTATTCATACAACAATTGCATCAATAACAAGTATGTGTATGAAATTCAAATCATGGTTATAGGCCTCGAGTTCAAGGAAGCTATATAGATAAAATTCATACATTGATATATCGACCAGAAGAAAATAAAATATATTTTAGGCTACTCATACTGTAAAAACGCTCATAACTTTTATTGGGTAATAGGAAGTTGCATAGGTCATTTATATAAATGACAAATAAGAATGGCCCAAGCACTGACCCCTGTGGGACACAATGTTTTATAGGTAGAAAGTCCGAGCTTCTTTGGTTAACAGTAACACATTGTTTTCTATTTTCAAAATATGAACTGAATAACTTCAATGCCACCCCTCTAATACCGTAATATTTGAGTTTCAAAATGAGTATATCATGAGAGACACAGTCAAAGGCCTTCAACAAGTCACAGAGTGTAATACCCGTGAGTACACCTTGTTCCAGACCCTCAACTATGCCTTCCAATATATTTAGAATTGCAAGAATTGTAGAGCGATTTTGTCGAAACCCATACTGTGCATTATTCAAAAATTGTTTTTTTTTCAAAATATTTCACTAGTCTATTTTTCAGAATTATTTCGATGATTTTACCAAATATGGAAATAATGGATATTGGTCTATAATTGTCAATTTCTGTAATATCTCCCTTTTTATCAATAGGAATAACTCTGGTAAATTTGAAACTATCTGGAAAAATGCCTTCACTGAAGATCAAATTGATCATTGATGATAATGGCGCAAGAATTATATTTGATGTTTGTCTTATGATATGGCAATTTAAATCATGTGTATCTACCGATTTCGAATTTTTTAATGCATTAATTGCATCAAGAATCTCATAGCTTGCGACTCCCGTTAGGAAAAAAGAATTGCATGGCACAGGAAAATGTTTGTATTGGATCAAGTCGTCTGGTATATTGGGTAACTGGTTTATTATATTTTCAGCAACACTTGTGAAGTGAGCGTTGAAAGAGGTTTCACATATTAGAGTTTCAGGGTTACTTTTAGTTTTCCTATTTAACTCATAGTTTATAATTTGCCAACTAGCTTTTGATTTGTTTTCTGATGTACTGATATAATGTCCATATGAATTTCTTTTTGCTTCTTTCAATTCCTTCCTGTAGCTTTTTTTAAGTGAATTGTATGCCACCTTATCAGTAGGATTTTTCTTTGTATCATAGATACATTTTACTATTGAAAGTGTGTCCCTCTTCTCCTTCAAAGAATTATTGTATCATATGACTGGCGGTTTTTCTTCAATTTTACACTTTTTATATGGAAACTGTACTCCCACATAATCAGCATAAGTATCAACCAAGAAATTTGCTAGAAAGTTGATACCTAAATTTGTATTTTCAAAAATACCCCAATCAATACTCTTGAGGGATTCTCTGAATTTTTCCATTGAGGAGTAAGATAAAGATCTTTTCATAATTATGTCGGGTTTACATTCAGTGATTTTGTTTAAGATTATATATTGTCCAATATGGTCAGACAGACATGGATCCAATACACCTGAAGTCATGTTCTGTTTCTCTATATTTGTCAATACATTATCAATGCAGCTGGACGAATATGCTGTTATCCTGGTGAATTCAGATATGATTATAGTGAGGCCAAACGAATTTAGTAAGCATTTCAATTCAGATAAGACATTCGAATTCGACTTGAAATTAATGTTAAAATCACCCAGTATTATGATTTTATTTTTACCTCTCATGTATTTATTTAATAAATTTTCCAGGTTTACCAAGAAAATTTCAGCATTTCCCAAGCAGGATCTGTAAAGTGTTATTATTAAGACTTGGTTTGATAATTCTAAGCCACAAAATTCAGAGTTTAACTCATCATTCAAATCCTTTAGTTGTAATGGTTTAGAGTTTATATTATTTTTTGTAAATATAGCTACTCCTCCATGTTTATTATGTATTCTACAGAATTCTGCTGCCAGACAGAATCCTGAGATGTTGATACTTTCAAGATTTGTTTTTTCTTGCCAATGTTCTGATATCAAAATTGAATTTTTCAGAAAAAGATCATTTTCTTCAATTCGACCCCCTTCAATTCCTTAGATAAAATAAAATTTGTCAATTCTACATGAGACAATGAAACTGATGTGGTTTCCTCCTTTGTATTGTTCGACAATTTTTTGGAATTCCCCAAATTTACCAATATGGGTGATTTCTCATGAGAACTCAATTGGAGTCTTTCCTTGCTCTTTCTAAAAAAGAGACTGGTCCCACTGTAGGTCCATCTGGTCTGAAGTCGTATCTGCGATATCCCACACCTCGAGGCCAGAAGGATGGTTTGTAGAAATCTTCCTTAAATTTAAAATCCGCCGCTACCATAAAATTCTTGTTCTTTTAGGAAAGTTACTGTAAAACCCTGTGCGTTTTGATTAGTCTTTTCACGTAAGTATTCTTGAATGTCTTTTTCTTCAACATCTTGATTTACCCTGTATATCTGGCGACCAGAAATGCGACAACAACGCACACCGTGACTGAGATATTATTTTGGAGTAAATCGTAATATTCTGAATTATTCTAAATATTAATTTAGTAACATTACTGATGCAACATTTATGTCAACTACACAGGATGTTTCTAAATTCAATACAAATATTTTAAGGGCGTATGCCTGGGCTCAAAATAAGACTTTTTTTCTCTTGAACATGTGTCTGCAACCGCTTCATTTCTGAGATACAGGGTGTTGAAATTTAACAAACATTATGATAGTCGTACCTGTTTTTCTCAAATAAATATATTTATGATTGCCCTCTATCTATTCATAAAAATGGACTTCTGACTTATTTCGTACGGCGAAGTTTTCAATTTAAAAAACAAAATGCATTTTGTTTGAAAGTGGTTGACAATGTTTCGTGGTGTATTTCATCAGTTCGGACTTCCATTGTCTAATATAATATAAATTGAACATCCAGACTAATCACAAATCGCATAGGTAGAAGCAAATAAAGCCGTTTTATATTTTAAATTGAAAACCGTCCGTCGGACAAATAAAAGTCAATTGACCATGTTTATAGGAAGAGGGATGATAATGTTGTTAACTTGTCTAATTAATCTTAATGAACTACAGTCTATGGAGTGGTTTTGTTGTAAAATATGATGGGCGACTGCTGATTTTTTTGGTCTTCCATTCCATAGACTTTAGTTCATTAAGATTAGCTAGATAAGTTAACAACAAGCATCTAGATGCCTATGAGAGTGTAGAAATAAGTAAACATAATCATATTATGAATAACGATGGTGGACCAATACCTAATAGTATACTATATAGCTTGTTGAAATAATTTCAACATAGGCAAATGTTACAGACCGGATTTGGAGAATCTCAGAGGAACACGATGTGAAACCAATATTCAGGCCAACAAACACTG